AAAAAAAAAAAAAAAAAAAGGAGTTCACTAGACTTAGGAAAAGGTTTGAAAGAGAATGAGAAAGTAAATTAGAGAAACACTAAATAAAGAAGTAATGGTGTCCAGTTGAGTTATCCTATAGAAAGATTTACTCAAAAGGACTTTTTAGTATCTTAGCTATACAGTAGTCTCAATATCTGATACCTAGCAAACATATAAACCTAGGGAAATCACAGCCCTTTTTGTTTCACAGGGGTGGGGAAGATAAAAGTTACAAAGTGCCTTACAATTATTAAACCTATAAAATCTAAGGCATTGTAATCATGAATTCTGTGACTGATGTGCATCTGAAAACCTGGCTTCTCAGATGTACCCTGCATATATTAGATGGTTAAAATATTTTCTAGAACTTTTTTTCAGATTGCCATTCAACAGTATATTCACTGTTGTTCTAGTTGCTATGAGATTAAAATATGATAAATTGACTTATTGTCAATTTCTGTTATAGGTGATGAAAATACTGAGAGAAATCACAGAACATAATGAAACCAACATAAGTTAGTTAAGTTACATGTTAAACTGCTACCAATATGCGGAAGAGTAGTCACTGGCAGGGACAATAATGGTACCCACAAATGTAACAATTAATGTTTTTAATTTTCTTAACTGTTTTGGCATTGTTATGAAATGACCATATTTTATCTTGGTTAAGCAACTGGCATTTGCATTGAAAAATTCCCAGAAAAAGATGTCATTGTGGGCCTCGATGAACACAATGATTTTGGCATGAACCACAATGCTCCAAAGATGGTGTATTAACTCTCATTTTATATTCTTTCATACAGCCAATGGTAGAGAGCTTCAGTTTTATCAGACAATCTGTTTTAAAGTCATAAAGTCTGCTCTGGTGAAAGTTGAGTGTGATTCCCTTTCTGGTCAAGTTCATGTCCTCCTCATTCTGCCAGAAAAAAAGTCCAATGCTTGTTTCTATGTTAGTATACAGCTTTTTCCTTCCAACAATTGGCTCCTAGGAGGTGAAGTATGTATGAGAAGCAGAAAGGCCTGCTTCAGAAAAGGCTGCTTCCCCTTATCTCAATTCCATTCCAGTGCAGTCACCAGAGAGTGGGCTAGACAGTTCAGAACTTCTCAGAAACATGTTTTGGAAGGCCCACCAGGCTGTGTCCAAAGTAGTGATAATTACTCTACTATTTTTTTATATTGGTCCATGATTCTTTATGACAAGTCTTTAAAGTTAAAATATTTTTAATTAGTGAGAAATAGATACAACAAATGCTTTAAATATGTCAAAGTAAAATGGAATTGTTAATATAGGGGTAGTAAAGACAAGGCTTTGGCTTAAAAAACGTTGAATATCAGTTATGTTTTACATTTCACCAGACTTTTCCAACTACTCTACTACAATATGAACTCATTGGGAAAACTTCATTAATTCAGAATGCTCAATTGAATACTTCTAATTACATGGAACTGATATAAAAACATTGGATTTAAATACAGTACTTCTACATATAAATTCTTGTGAATTTTTCCTAATAAGGCCATGATTTTATTTATACTGTGTGTGTATATGTGTGCATATGTGTATATATATATATATATTTTTTTTTTTTTTTTTTTTTGACACAAGGTCTCTCTATGCAGTTCAGGCTGGCCTTCAGCTCACTTTGTAGGCCAGGCTGGTCTTGAACTTGCAACAATCCTTCTGCCCCAGTCTCCTGAGTGCTTAGATGAAAGGTGTGTACCACCACAACTAGCAAGGACATGATTTTTAAGATTTTTTTTTTTTAATGTACTTGGTACAGGGTCTCACTATGCAGCTCGAACTCGTAGTGATCCTATCTGAGCCTCCCCAGTGCTGGGATTACAGGTGTGCACTTGGGCAGTGGGGCCAGCGAGCAAACAGTGCTGGGAATTGAACCCAGGTCCCTGCGCTTGCCTAAGCAGGACTTCAGTCTGCTGAGCTATCTCACCAGCCCAAGATACTTTTAAAATAAAATTTTTGAAAAAGTTGAAAACTTATTCTCTTAAATACTGTTTGTTGTATTGTTAGATTATAAAACAGGCAGCTCACATCTTTTTTTGGGGGGGATATTGCCAAAAAAGAAAAAAAAAACTTTAGTTCATCTTCCTAAATTTTGCTAGATTAAGAGTTTCATTGCTTTTCAATAAAGCACATTACACAGAGGATTCATTAATAGGGAGACTTTTTGTATTTTTGAGGCAGGATTTTGCTATGTAGTTCAGGTTGGCCTTGAACTCAAGGCGTTCATCCTGCCTCAGCCTCCCATGTGCTGGGATTACAGTCATGTGCTACCACACCTGGCAATAGGGAGACTTTCAGACTTTAAATTCTTCCTTAGTATGCAATATTAGCAATAAACAGCCTAAAATCCTAATCTACACTATTTTATGGTGTAGATGCAGACTTTTTAGAATTCTAAGCTTAGATACAGGTACTGTTTTTCTATTGTGATAGAACTCTAGTTGGGAGAAATAGACTGGTACAGGGTACAAAAGAATCTTCTTGGTGGGGGTGGCTCTGGAAATGCTTTATAAGATGGTGGGCTTTATACACCTTTTATATCTCAAGAAATAAAAAGTGCTTAGTCCTTTATGAAATGCCCACCAGCTACCTTAGAGTGTATCATAAACACGGTTTTGTATGTCAAAACATACAGCACGGAAACCAAATTACCGGATGCTCACAGCATACAGCATGCTGGTCATGTCAGGTAAATTACCTAGCTGAAGCTGGAGAAAGGCTTCAGGATGAGGGGTCATTATCAGAAATGATGGCAGGAAGAACACAATACATCAGGAGAAGTAAAAAGCGTTACAACAGCTTACACGACAACTAGCAGAGCAGCATGTCCTCAAGCAACAGACACGACTATCACACAGTTACTTGATTTATGATTATTTATGTCTTTTATTTGTTTCTTACTGTTGGGTCTTTTTGTCATCCTATTGCTTGGAATTCCAAAGGATAGAGAAGAAAAAAAGAATTAATGAGTTTTATTCCTTAGCTGTTGTTTTATATGTGCTGAACAGCTGAAGTTACGACTGTGTGATTCTAAAATTATGCAGTTTCCTATTTATTAAGGGAGAGAAAGTTGTTTTAAGGAGAAAATATCAACACGCATCCTGCCTCAAATGTTATTTACTTTTGCTTGGAACTGTTAATTCTCATCACCTCCAAAAAGCCTTTGAGAAGATTAGCTGCATAGACCCAATATTGTTCTATATTAGTCAGTATTAAGTATGATGTCACCTTGTTTTTTCTCTTCAAGCTCCCTTTTTGGGTGACAGGGGGACTTTTTTGGGTAATCTCAAAATAGTGGCTGAAGTATCATTAGCTGACACACATGACTGACAACCTTCGATTCCCAAACCTGTTTGAAATGGGTCAAATAGCTCAGCGCTGCAGAACAATGCAACCCAACCAGCAATTCCCCACGAAAGAGCAAGGGGGTGTGATTAGGTTCCAGCTATTAAGCAAGTTATTGCAAAAACAGTTTGAAGGGTTCTGCAGTAAGCCCAGGTTAAGCTAGTTATCTTCTCTCTTAATTAGCTCCCGAAACAAATGCTATGCTGTACGAAGTAGAATAAATCACTAAAGCATGAAACAACTGGGACAAACATTCAAAGGCTGGATAGAGGTCCCTATGGTGACCCGCTGCATTGGTTATCGATCGTTAACCCTGCGGGGGAACGATCGAAGGGAATTTGTGCGAGGCTTATCGAGCCACAGGAAGGGAGATACAGGAGGGAATCTAAGCTTCTAATAAAAGAAACGCAGCAACAATAGCAGGGGAACAGCTCTGCCTGGTGACGTAATGGCTGGCAGAGGTCCAGCTTCAGCAGGGCTGCTGCTACCTCAGCATCCAACCTCCCTCAACACAGTCCAGCTTCAGCAGAGCTCCCGGGGCGGCTACTTCTTCCGATGCCACTTTTTCGGGGGCCACCAACACGCCTTACCTTAGAGGACCAGCACGCTGAACAAAGGGTGGTCGGGCTGTTTTAAGTTGGCGGGGCGTGCACACTCTCACTCACACTCCCCCAACCTCGCGCAGTCATCGAGTCAACCAGGGGCTCAAGTTTGGGGCGAAAACACTGGCGCACGCTCCGGGCGTGCCTCAGTTTCCCCGGGGTGGTCTTGGATCCGCCTCCCGCTGCATCGTCCCCTACCCCAAGCCTCAGCGGGAGTTGATCGAGCAGGGCGGCCCCGCTCACCCAGTCCTCCCGCCTTACCTCCGCCAGGTAGAGGTTGAGCAGACAGAGCGTGGAGAACTGGAGGCAGGAGGGGAAGCAGTAGAGCAGCCAGTGCGGGAAAAAGTGCAGGTGAGCGGGCGGCCGGAGCAGGGGCAGCGAGCCGCTGAGTGAGAAGGCGGCGGAGAACAGGGTGGTCCTGAGCGCTGCCCACAGCAGACACAGGAAGAGGCAGAGGCTCTGGTAACTCAGGCGCCGCTCGCGGTACAGCAGCAGCCGCCACAGCTGCAGGTAGGCAAAGGCGAAGAGCGCGGCGTAGAGCAGAGCGTGCAGGACGCTCAGCCCCAGCTGCACCGAGCCGGGCACCGCGGCGCCCCCGCCGCCCCCGCTCCCGCCGCCGCCGGGCGTCGAGGGTTCGCGGCCGGCCGTGGGGGCGACGGCCGGACCCGGCGAGGACACCCTCATGAGGGGCCTGGGGGCTGCGCGAGGGAGCGCGGGAAGGAAGGCGCCGGCCTCCGGGCCGCCGTCCAGGGAGAGAGCGCTGGCCCCCCGACCCCCCACCCGCCCCAGCCTCCAGCCCCAGCCAGCGCCGTGACAGGACCCGGAGCCCGGAGCGGAGCGGCCAACGCGGCTCCCCCCGCCGCCCCGACCCCGCCTCCTCTCCTCCGCCCCCTCCCCCCGGGGGGTCTCAGCTCCTCCTGCTGCTGCGGCTCAGTTCCGTGGCTGCAAAAAACAACTCTCGGCTGGAGACAATCAGCTGAGAAACCCGAGCATTTGAGGCGCTCGCTCCGCACCGTGGGCTAGCGCCGATTGGCCCGAGCAGGCACTCCCCCTGAGCGCCGCGCTCGGAAATCCATTGGTTATTGGACCTGTCACTCCAAGATCCTGCGATTCAATTGGGCTTCTGCTTTGCCCGCTTTCTTCTCCCTCCCCACTCGCCTCCTATGCTGCTGATTGGCCCGGCAACTGCTCTGCCCGCTCGCGCCGGCTGGAGGACTCGGTGGTCGTCTGTCACCTGGGGCTGCTAGCGCACCGCCCCCCGAGCTTCCCATTGGTTGAAGATTCCCTTACGTAAGAAGCACGAGGAGAAGGAGGAGCTCCCTTTTTCTTTTTTTTCTTTTTTTTTTGCCCTGGAGACTGATTGAGCTGTGGGGTGCTACGGCCGGGTAGGGAGCTGCAACCTGCAGCGCGGCCGCTGTCCCGCCTGTGCCTCCGTGCGGTCCGGTTCGGGCCAACGCCGGCAGGTGCTGCGCGCAGCTCTCGGGCAGGTAGGTGGCGGCGCGGTGCTTCAGGCGTGGGCTGCAGCTTCCGCCTGCAGGAGTGGGCAGTTTTTGCCTGTGGCGAGCGCTGCACCCCCAGCCTGGGTTCTGGGGTGCCGAACAGACCGCCCCTGGACGCTTCCGCCGGGCCGGGTGCTGTCATTTAGTTCCCTTGCCTGGCGGGCTAGGGAGGGAATGAGGTGGTGGGTGACCAAAACTAAGCAAAGCCCCTTTTCTCGCTCGGAAAAGGACCGTGTAGGACAAGTGGTGCTAGGATGTTGGAGCAACCTGTGGGTAGGGGAAAGTTGGTTCTTGGAAACAGAATTTGGAAAGATGCTCAGGGGATAAGTTCGGGAGAAAAGGTAGAAACAGAAGTGATAGTCTCTGGTGATTGTCTAGAGAAGTAAAATAGTTTGCTTTTCAAATTCCAACGTGCCCTTTCCCCTAGTCCTGTGTTTAGGAGATGGTGGCACTAGTCCTGGGACCGAGAGTGGTGCGGTATAAATGCTGTATTAGTCATTTCTTCTATCATCATGATCATCAAAGGTCCTCACTCTGTATTTCAGGCTGGCCTTGAACACAGTACATACCACAGGCTCGTCTTGAACTCATGGCAATCTCCTGTCTCAGCCTTCGGAGTGCTGGGGTTACAGATGTGCATCATCTTGTCAGGCATAAACGCTATGTTCTTATATTGCTGTAAGAAAAGCAAAGGAAAGCTAGATCTCCCAATTACGTTGGGTCAGCACATATTTGATTTTTTTTTTAAATTTGGTAATAAAATGAACAAAACAGTACAAAATTAAAGAGGAAATGATAGCTGGGTGTGGTGGTTCATGCTAGTAGTTCCTGGTGCTCCAGAGACTGAGGCAGGAGGATCACAAGGTCGAGGCTGCCTCTGATGATTTAGAGCCTGTTGCAAACATTTTAAATGGTCTGGGAAGATAGCCGAGTGTTAGAGCTCTTATCTGACCTGTATGGGATCTGTGGTTCAATCCTCAGTACTGCAGAAATAAAATAAAAAGTAATTTGTATTCTTAAAATAAACAGCTTGACACACTTTTAGCATTCTTGTTCTGGAGCATCCTGGATCCAGCCTTTCCTGACTCAGTGTCCTTTCTCCTGTTGTGTAGACACCTTCAGATGAAGTATTCAGCTGTGCAGGCTGAGCAGTGTGGCATACGGGAGGGTGCAACTTACTGCAAGAAGCGAACAGGCTCAATGCAGCATCAGTGGTTTGGGAAGAATCCCATATTTCTTGGAATTTAAGATTCTTACATCATGTATTCTTACAGAATGTGGTTACAGCAGTACACAGTTCTCTTCAAGTAGGGGATGGAGTATTGGTGACAGCAGTAGGGATTGCAGTTTCGTATGCATAAGCAGTTAAATTGAGCATAAGTCAGTTATGTGATTTTAGGCACTTATCAATTATTAGTACCACTTATTCTCTGGCATGGTCAGTATGTGCATCCTCAGTAGTGGGGTGCAACTTTCAGGTCATGAGTAGGTGTCACAAAGAGGTCTCCCTGCTTTGTGCTTAAAGTAATGGTAGACAACATTGGGTAGTATCTAAGTAGATTTTACATCTTTGTGACACTGTTTTCTTCCGTATGTCAGAGAATTCTGGACAGCCTCTTTTTTTCTTCCTACCTTTTTTGGGGATGAGTACAGTGGTACCTCAGTTCACAAATTCAGTTCTCCACAATTGTGGTCACAAATCAAATTGGATAAAAACTGAATCAAATTTCCCCATAAGGTCAACACTGAATGTAACCGTTGAATTTCATTCTGTTCTCGCAACCAGAAACTTAGAAAGAATGAAGCTGAAGAACCAAAGTACCACTGTACTGGAGCAGGGGGAGCAGGTAGAAGATTTGATTCCTATCTGCTTTGAAGGACTCCAAAGTAGAGATAAGTTGATTCCTTTTATTACCTCCTTTAGCTCATAAAAAAGCCGAGATCTCATCAACATTTTATTTGAGGATGGTTCAGTGAGCAGGCTCTGTTTTCCAATAGCAGCATTGAATTGTAACTAAGCTAATTTTTGATAGAATATTCTTACAGGAACTTTGTAAGCATTATATGCCCCATTTGCTGCAAAATATGAAATGTGCCTTTTCCCAGAGAATGGTGCCCACAGATCTTGATATAATTTATTTAGTAGTTTAGTTAACTTCTTTTTCTTGACAGAGAAAACCATTAATTTTATAGTTAATCATAAAAAAATTTTAGGGCTATAAAAGAAAGAAACTCATTGAGGGTTGCCTAGAAAAGCTTGCTGCCAGATATGCTAAAATTGAAATGTAGCAAAAAGCAGAAAGTTTTCAATATTTTTTTTTTTTGAGCAAGTTTACTCTAGCACAGTAGTCTTTCAGCCATTCAAAAGCAGAAGAGCTGTATATTATTGTAAACAGGACTCATTTTAGGGGATTGAGTACCTATCTAGATCGCTCCTACCAGGTACCAGAGGAACACCGAATGGCAAATCCTCGCTTGTCTCCTTATTAAAGCGAAGGCCAAGTTTTGTTTTGTTTGTTTTGTTTTATTTTTTGAGCCAGTGTCTCATTATGCAGTTCAGGCTGGCCTTAAGCTCACTTTGTATCCCAGGCTGGTCTCAAACTCACAAGGATCTTCCCGTTGCTTCCTCCCGGGTGCTGGGATTACAGGTGTGCACCACCACACCTAGCAGAAAAATTTCCATTTTATCCAGGATGTTGTTTTTGCATAATGTTGTCCATCATGATGACTGATTTTTTTTTGGTTTGTTTGTACCAGGAATCAAATTCGGGACCCGTGCTTGCCAAGCAGGCACCTGTGCCGCTGAGCTGTATCCCTGGCCCACAACCAATATTTTTGTCCTGAAGTACTTCCTCCTTTATGCCTCAGGGGAATTTCTTGCTATTTTGGTGCTGAATAACAACTAGGACAACTTTAGTTGTCGTTTTCATTTTACTTGCTAACCCTCTTGCCCAGGGCAAGTTGCAAATCCTGCATTCATTCTACCTTTTAAATGATCTGTGCTTGCATGTCTCTGGAAGGCTGAGGCAGGAGAATCACAGGTTGAAGTTCAGCCGAGGCAATTTAGAGACTTCGCAAGACCCTGTCTCAATAGAAAAAGAAAAAAAAAAAAAAAAGGACTGGGAACTTACTCAGTGTGAAGGCCCCGGATTTAGTCCCCAACCCTGGTGGAAAAAAGACTTTTTGAGTTGCATCTTATGTGTGAAGTCTGATCAGTACTTATTAGAGAATCATGTTGAAGAATTTAAGGTCCTTTTCCAGGCTGCAAGTTGTTTGTGTGTAGTACTGCCAAACATGCCATGACACATAGTTGTCTGTGACTTCTTCCTTCTTTTGTTGTTTTATCAGTTGTGATAACAGTCACACTTTTCTCATCTTTCTTTCTAGAATCATCTTACTGTGTTGCATCAGTTTCTTATGAATTCTTTGACATATCCTGCTTTCACACCTAGAAAATGTATTTTATGGTCCAGTATTCTCTTCTTGCCCATTAATAAGAGCTGATGTGCTGTTAGGGTTAGGCAGGTTGTATTGTGGCGAGAGCCTCAAATTTGAGGAACTTAAACCAAGTTTATTTTGACTTCACACTGGGTCAGCTGGGGTCTTTTTGGGACTTGTGGGCTGACAAAGAAGACTTCATGTTGAATGTTAGCAGTCACCAGAGCAGAGGGAAAACATGTCAAGATTCTTAACTCATGTATTCTGACTTAGGACTTTTCACAAGTTGTCACTTTGCGTATTTCATTGGCCAAATTAAGCCAGGGCCATACATAACTCCAGGAAGGAAGTGGAGAAGCACGGTATAATTTTAGCATGTGTACAGAATTGGAAACGGAACAGTTCAGCCTTGCCTTCCAGGCACCATAGTGACACAGGGGAAAGAAACTCCTAACCTGCTAAATGTCCAGTGTGAGTTCATGTTCTCTAAAATTAAAGAATGAATTTTAGGAACAGTGGATGGTTAAGAGCAGAATACATATATTGGGGGAAAGAAAGCTTTTGTCTGTGAGAGAGACAGAAGGGGACCCGAGTGGGATGCTGGGGACCCTGCCTTTTCTGGGGAGTTTTATGGAGCAGATCCACAGTGTGAGGCAGGTCCAAGGTGGGAAACATGGGAAAGTAGGCATGAGGCGGGACAAAACCATGGTCAGCCAATGAGATTATGAATATAATTTTGCTCAGTGAAAGTTGATTTAAATGGGGATGCAATGGGGTGGCAGTCAAATAGCAAGTGGGCATGAATGCAGAACGGGGCTTTTCTTGTAGGGGTTAGGTAGTGGCTTACCTTGGCTTTCCCAAGGTAATGGTCACCTGTTTAGAATATCAACCTCTGATGTTTATGTAACCTCTAAAGTTTGTGGGTGCATTTATTTTATCTTTTGTCTTGAGATCTGGCCCATAGTGGAGGTGTCTGTCTCCTACAGTTGTAAGGTATCTCATCTTATGCACTGGCTTCTTCGAGAACCTAGCCCTAGCCGACTGCCTATAATAACTGTCCATGCCTGGCAGTTGTTTACCTGGTTTGGATAGAAGTTATCCGTGTTCCACCCCTCCTGAATACAGGAGGTGGTGTAGAGACATATAAATGTTCCTGTTTGGAGAAGAACGAATGACACAAGCCAGTCTCCAGCCTGTAGCAATCAACAGATGTTGCCAGAGTTCTAGTCTTGTTCTCTAAATTCCATAGGCCAGTTTAAAAAAACCAATCAGTTTGAATATTTTGTAGAGGCAATTAAGAATGAATTGTGGGAAAAGTAAATTAACTAACTTATCACTATTGCAGGGACTTAGCACCTGGACCCACAGATGCCCAGTAATTGCCTAGAAGCAGGGTGAAGCTTGGCATCTCTGTCTTTACTTTGTATGTCTCCCATAGGGCCTCAAAACTTGGAGTCAGGTTTGTGTTCATCTCTGCACATAGGCTTGGTAATCTCTTAAGTGTTTGTATTACAAGGTTTATTAGCTCTAAATTTACCTAGCATTATCTCCTCCCCCTTCAAGAGTGAAGACACAAGAGCAGTAGCTTTCAGGATTTGCAAGGACATCTAAGTGCCAGCTTTTGGACTCTCCAGCCCCTGGAGCAATACCTAGAAGTCTCCAGCCAGTGCCCTAAACCTGATCCCTTGGGATTCAAGGAAAAGCAAGAGTCCCGTGTGATGTCTGTCAGTCATTCCTCCTCACCCCTACCCCCAAGCTGGAGCACTTACCTCCTGTTGGAACTGAGGCTTCCCTCCCAAAACAGTAGCTGTCATCTAAGCTAGGGGCTGAATTGTACACTGACGCAGTGATGGCTCTCCCAGGACCTCACTAAACCCCTCCTGAGATACTGATCAAGCAGCACAGGATCTGACTGGGACTACCTGTGTATGCTGCTAGCTAAGCAAACCCTCGACCCTTGCCTTTGTTTTGCTTTTCTATAAAACCCCACGATTTCTGTAAGCCTCTCAGGGACACCCTGTCTGTGCTTCCCAGCATGGCTGTACAGAATGATGTTTCTTTTCTGCTTTTACCACTGTTTGTCCCATTGGTATGATGGGATGGGTGATCAAGCCTGGTCTGTTGAGCCCCTGGCGCTGGGAGTCTGGGAGTTTTGCCCTGAAACTTTGGTAACTACAAACCTAATTTAAAACTTACTGTTAGATTCAACAGGACACAACATTCCTGTTTGAAATCGCTATAAAAACTTCTGAACACACTTTTCACACTTACCTCACTATGTTAGACCAGTAGCAAATAGTTCCTGCCTTGCACACACCCTAGAGCAGTTCTGCATGGTCTTTAGCTTGGCTGCATAAGCTATTGGCCTTGGAGAATATGGCCTCTTTCCAAGGCTGAGCAATTTGGTTAGCATGCGTATGACCATGGAAGGGTGAGAGCCTGAAGGTTTGAGGTCTTAAATAGCCTCTTGGAGACTGTTGAAAGACTCTCTGAGAGTCTTTAAGACCCTCTTAAAAATCAGTAGCAACCAGCACACAGTACTCTTCCAACTTCTTGTTCTAGTGCTAAAATTAAGTCCATTAGCCACAAGAACCTAGTCACACCTTCCATTGTGTCGCAACAGTTCTTTCAAACATTTTGTCATTTTTGCAGGTGGGGTTACTTGCTGAGCTCTGGTCTCATACATATTTTTCTTGAGCAGGCCCAGAACAGTTTCTGCGCTGACAGCTTATGTGCTCTTTGGTCCCTGAGCCCGTGCTTTGGAACTTTTGCTAAGGCAACATCTTATGTCTAGTTTGCATACCAGTGCAGATAGGCCAGCTAACCAACAGACCCGCTAACTGCTGCCATGATTTGTTTTTTCCGTATGTCATGTACTCATCACAGGCCACCTGAGGGTTCTTTGTTGCACTTGGGCGGCAGAACAGACACCGTGTTAGCATTTCTAGTGACTGCCAGAAGGAAAGCGTGTCATGTCACGTTAGCTGTTAAAGCTGTTAGCAGAAGGCGACGAGCCTCTTCATTATGCCTTTTGGCCTTAATTAGTCACATGGTAGCCATGATAGCTTGGAGGGTGTAGGGAGAAAGGAGGAAAGTGAGTGTAACATTACACCTGCCAGAGAAGGGAAATCACACCAAGGAACATCACAATTCTAGGACACTCATCACTTTCTCCAGATGTAGTAGATTGCTAACGGGTGGTCACCTTGTTATACCCAGCTAAACTGAACTAGCCTGAGGGTTGTGGCCAGCAGCATAAAGAGGGGAGCTGGAGAAGCTGTTGGGAGGCTGTGGGGGAAGCTGCGTAGAGCAGCTGCTGGGAGCTGCTGGTTCTCTTGGGCTATTCTGCTGGGGAACCTTGTCCTGCTGGCTTTCCTGACGAACTTGGCTGTTCTTGTCAGAAGAGGAGCTCAGGACCTCGTTGTCACTGAGGATGGCTGCAGTTTGTTTTGGGGAGCTCTGGTTCTTACCTTGAGCATGGCTTCCTGGCTCCAGAGGGGAAGATGGTGCACTGCTCAGCCTCCTGAGAAATTTGTTATGCTGGGTTTCCTGATGGGACTCAGCTTTCCTCATGGCTGAAGGAGCTTGGGCCCTCACTATCACTGAGGATGGCTGTGGTACTTTTGGGGGGAGCTCTGGTTCTTACCTTGAGCTTTGCTTCCTGGCTCCACTGCAGACCCCTCAGCCTCCTGGCACACACTTTCTAGCTTCCACTGCTAACCTTTGGGCCTTCCTAGTGCACAGATGTGAAAGAGGCCTGCATGAGACATCGTCGTGGGCTCTAGGCCTTTAACTTGACTTGTGAGAGGCATTTTATGGGTTCTAGATTTTCAGCTGGACTCATGCAGGATATTAGGATCCAGGCCCTCAGCTGGAGTCTTTGGTCTTTAGTGTGTGGCAGATTTCCTGCACTCTTGTATATGATTCTTGGGTGATTATAAAATAATCTTATAAAATGTGTCCTCTGTTGAATTGTTTCCCATGCAAACACTAGGTACGACACTAGGTATTTGAATGTTTTTTTCTTTTTTCTGTCTTTTTGAGACACGGTCTCTCTATGCAGTTCAGGCTGGCCTTGAGCTCACTTTGTAGCCCAGGCTGGTTTAGAACTTGCAACAGTCCTCTTGCTTCAGCCTCCCAAGTGCTGAGATTACAGGGATGTGCCACCGTGCCCTGCTAGGTATTTGGACTTGAAGTATGAAGTATTGCTTTCTATTCCCTATTATAATTGTAGGAGAAAAAAGGAAAAATTTACCAATTACTTTCAGTATCTTCGTTTTTACTTTGTTCCTATTAATTTTGCTCATCTCCCTTCTCTTTGAAAATCTTTTTATCAAAAGAAAATGTCTCAGCAAGTATGTCTTATTTTCCAAGTATGCAGTGTCTTCCCTTCTAAACTTTGTAGGGTAAATTGGATTGAGTAGAAGGTATGGAAGATTTGATTACATACAAGTAAGAACTTTTAAAATCAAAATGAAAAGGTACACTATTTTTAAAAAATGGTTCATGAGTTGGTATTGCCCATTTTTACTTCTTTAGAAATGGTTACTTTTTTTTTTTTTTTTTTTGGCAGAACTGGGTGTTGAACTTGGGCCCTTGCACTTGCCAGGCAACCACTTATTCTACTGAGCCATCTCCCCAGCTAGGGACAGTTACTTTCAACTGCATTTTGGCATTGACGGTCCTATTGTGAATAAATTTGGTTTTTGATTTTGTGAAAAATGAAAATTTAGTTTTCTTCCATCCCCTTTCTCATTCTAAGTGCAAGATCCTTTTACTCTCTCTCCTTTCTCTTATCCACTGTGATTGTAATGGTTTTGATTCTAGCAGACTTGTGCTGTATTTTCTGCTTTAAGTAGTTTTAAAAACAGTCCAATCTAATCAAGGACGGAACAAGTGGTCGAGATTACTACTGAATTCGTATCTCTGCAGTATGTAAGAATAACCACCAACATCTTTAACTGAGCACATGCGCAGTATCTTCCTACACATACCTAATTTCCTTTGTCCAGTGAGATGGAAAATGTAAAGTTCTCAAGCAGTGAATGTGTGATTACACCTTGTGGTATACAAAATATACTTTAGGAGAAAGTGTGGTAACCTTCATGTCCCAGTTAGTAGGAAGATAATCAAATTGTTACCTCAAGGCCAAGAAACATATTTAGTGTTTAAGTCTTTCAATTGTGCTTTTACCTGATTTTTACAGCTTTGTTATTGCTATTTTATGTGATAATGTTACATAATAATTCCCTTATTCTTGAGAATGCATGCATTTCCCTCTAGAATATGAAGAAAATAATGAATGACCCATTTTAAAGCATCTCCATTAATATAGGATGACTTTAAAATAGTCTGGTTTGAAATGACTATGATGTAGAATCAATTTTATGTCAAGGAAACCCCTTAATTATATCATTAAAATTACATTTTAATATACCTTATGCATTTCTCACTCATTTTAGCTTTTGAATATTTGACTCATTATTAAAATTTGATAACAAATGTGTTCACTATTTGATAGGAGCTAGCCCTAATGAATGGAATTATCAATAAGTAATCAATGAAGACTTAGAATCTTTTTTTAGTAATAGTAGTGAGGAGTACTATGTGCTTAGTGATAATATTGAATGATCAGAATAAGAATTCAATTTGTGACTGTTCTGTAGTTGCTTCTATCATTTTACTTATTAAAACATTTTACTTTTATAAGTTTATGGAAATAATTTTTTTCTATCCTATTTTGAACACATTGTCTACATTTGA